TCAGAAATATTTGTTTTTATGACACGAAAAAGTCTAGCATAACTATGCAATTACTATTAGAGCAACAACTTGAAAGCTTGATATAAAATGCATACTATTCAGAGCAATACGGTAACAGAGGAAGATAAGCAAATGTTATAGTTCATCGTTGATATTATAGAAGTGTTTCCATAGTGACATATCACCATGACTCCGGTAGTATGTTCGTATGGAATCTTTACCAATAGTTGTATACAATTAAAAGTATACCAATGACGTCATTCTTACTTTGAATTATATGGGCGTGGCAACAAAGATGTTATCGAAGTATATTGGGATCATTTATCATATCCCCGATCATATTATCTATTATGATTGTGAAATACCCTAATTATACAATTTCGTGCACATCAGGGCACATACGATGGGCTTTCCCCTTCAGGTGTCTCAACTGTTGGGCTTGACTCTTCTGTCAATGATTCAGGTCTATGGTTCGAAGATGGATCTGGTCCATGAGAATCCACTGAATTCTGTGATGCTGTTGGCATGGCGACCATGTCAGATTCTTCGTAAAACGATTGTGGTGCACCTGCTGGTGTGCCGTTTGTTGCTATGGAAACGTTTCTGGGGACATCGGTCATCGGCGGCTGATTATTTTTCCGTTTATCGCGATGACCGGAACTACGGTGACGACCAACTAATAACAGCGAGTAATCCTTTGTTTTCGTCTTCGTAGAGCCTGAGGCGTTAGTGTGGTATGATGCAGAGTGCACAGGCAGTGATGAGGCGGACCTTGAGGTCGCCTCCCTGTAGGCATGAACGCCGTACTGAGGGGATGGGGTCATACTAGATATTGACAAAGATCGAAGATCAGGCATGGAAAACCTTGGTGAAAACTGGGCTGATTCTTGGGATATAATTGCCATAGTAACCGGCGATTTACTGTCATTTGTGACTGGGATAAATGGGATAAGAGGGACGGGTGAAAACATGGGTAAGGCAGTTTCTCTAAGTTTTATGTTCGGTTTACTTGATATAATGTCTAACATTTCCAGCACGTCTTTTTGTAGCTTGAAATCTACGACAAAACCAAGCTGTGGTTCCATGATTGGTTCCTGTAACGATTTATTAATACTTCTTTTGGCTTGGGTAACACTGTGGAAACAAATACATCAGAATGTTCGTTTACATTTCACATCATGTTTCATGATATTTCTACAGTGACAAGTTTATTCATAAAAGATCGACGCACTATACTCAAAAGGCATGTACATGTATTCTACAATACTAGTATGTATTGTCCCGAAAATAACCCACTTTTTATAGTTTACATTTTCGGTGTGTGTGTTTATATTATTTTCAGGAAAATAATATAAACCAATTTACCTTTGCTTCAAGGTCCCAAAATTCTGAAATAGGAGAAAAAAGAGAAAACGTCAGTATGATAAATGTATCTTCATGCGAGTTGGGAGAGGTTCGTCAAACGAAAAGAGAGATAACAATATACGATTTGCGTAGCAGTTCCATAGTTTCTATTACAGGAGGGTAAATGTTCAAACCGTAGAGGTAAAATATATATGTTTTACCACAACGACCTGAAAACCAAGGGAGCCCCAACCATCTTAGTCCCAAGTATTGTCATCAATTATATTAGAGAGATATCGCCACTGGATGGCGCAATCTAAAGTAGCAATGATCATCACACACCTGGACCATCGCAGTTTCGTCAAATTCCTCCAAAATATCCTCTATGTAAAGAGCTGTATTCAGACCGTGGCCAAGAAGCTTACGACAATCTCGAATTTGATGTTCAACCATTCTTATTTTCTCTAACTGTTGTTTTACTATTTTCTCTTTGATATACTGCTTTCGTTTCAGAATTGCGCTAATCAACATGTCGATTTCACTGTCGACTGCCGCTTTGCACTTTGCCGCATCTTTCTGGAAGTTGGATCCGAAAAAATAAAATTAGTTTGAATGTAGTTATCTGCATATTCTCAGTGTGGTTATTTCCCCCATACCAGATTGCGCTGAGATATCCTTAATTCTTACTAAATTGATCACCATCAAATGTGTGTAGCAGTGTAGCATACTACATGTAGTATTATTAAGTGTGGACCCCCCCCCCCATTTTCATTCACGTTTGTTACTGTAACAACGCTATGTCCGTTGGTTGTCATGTTTTTTACGTTCGATTGTTACGCGACATCTCGCAGTGGACGAGAAATGGTATACTACTGGGTATTTAACAATCAATGTGACGACGTGCAATACACAATATATGTATATATTTAGGTACCTTGATCAGATATTTAAAATTTCCCATTTCCTCAATAAAATCTTCTATTTCGTTGTTGGCCACAAACAACTCTTCGTTCTCAGAAGATAAAATTTCCTGGAATTGTAAACAACGTGTTTTAATAATTAGTGGTTATAACAAGGGATATCTCCGTAAAGTTTGATGGAACATTATGTTTAGTCCATAATCGCCCAATTACCTCAACGTCAGTACCGAGAGGGGATGTGCAGTGGCAGTTTATCGGGCCGTTTTTACCTGGAACCGTGTCTCCTAGACATTCTACAGATAATTTGAGTCGATTATAATATAGATAAATAATGTGTATATAAGTGTTATGGGCAAATTTCCTTTTCCTTTTAAGCAGATAAATTACATACATGAACAATGTTTTATTATTCGCGTGTCACTGGAGAATCACAGCTGTCACCGGTGACTCCATCAATCCATTATAATAGTAAACACACCAATGGTAGTAGATACTACAATGTGTACACGTAACTGACTGCATGTATGCCGGATTTTACTGTACCTTTATCTGTTCCACGGATAGATTTGCACCGACTGAACCCTTGGCGCTGGCGGTCTTTTCAATCATTACGGCATTATCGACAACATTCTCATCCTTCTGGGTCGCCGATGTATTCCCGCAAACAAACCTCTCAATGATGTTCTGTAGACGAACATTTCGACGTAGACTGTCGATGCCACGACCGTCTATGACGACTTTCTCCCTGCATTCCGGACAGCGAAAACTTCGTGGCTGCCTCCCGCTGATCGCGAACTGCGATTTCAACAAACTGTCGGCACATTCTCGGCAGAGATCGTGCTCGCAAGGTAGCTTCAGTGGCTGCTTGAAGATTTCCCAGCACACAGGACACGTCAGCTCGCTTTCTAAACTACCGGTACCAGTTCGGTTAGAGCATTTAGCAGCAGCAGCCATGAAGCAGTATTTAGGACGGTAATACGCAGAATGGAATACTGGGGAAACAATGTGTCGAAATAAAATACTGAATATACATGTATCAATATATGGCACGGTGTTCTCCTTCCTGCTAATGGAACTACCGCTTTTCACGTGACGTGCCGATGTTCGATTCATACAAACAATTTGGACTAAAAACTCACACACAGGTGGCGCTCTGTTTAGTAAATGATAATTTAAACACTCATATAAGCGTCACAATATGAACCAATTTATTGTCATACATTATAATATATACATGCTATATAAATATATAAATAAATATATATATATAATATTGAGTAATAATCTTTCTATTCTACAGTGAAATAATTTAAATTTTATTTAAACATTATTTGATTATATCCCCTAGTACCTGTCGACAATATTACAGTAAACTTCACGTGGCCATGTTTATAATGCACGCATCTGACATCGATCTCATTGATCCTTGTCTCTAGGTGGCGTGTTACACAACCTACATAAAACTTAGTGTTATATTGCCATATTGTAAAACTCTTTTATTACTGAAAACTCTAAACTCAAGTACTCGACATAATATCGCAAATCAGAAAATAAACTGAAAACTAATTGACGTATAAAACACTCTTACAATCGAACGTGATAGGAAATATTTATTTATTTATTAGAAGATTTAGTACGGTTATCGATGATGGATTACATGGATGTCAAAAATACGGTTACAGACATTATGTTGATCCATCAAGTCGTCACGCGGAAATTATTGTAAGGAGCGCACTGAGTGACTGAAGACAAAATCAGCAAACTACGCCGGTTAATCGGGACAGTGATTTGTCGGAGGGCTCCTTGGTAGTTTTTAGTAAAAGTTCAAAAACTAGGAGGGTACTTAATACTACCAAAAATTCTGTTTTTTTATATGCTGTGATATCCAGCTTTCTGAATATATATGACATGACATGTCTTAAATGTTATCTTCATCTTCTATTAGTTCAATTAACAAACTGAAGCATCTCATCCTTAATTATGTACTTCGACTAGAATAGTGGTCAAAGTTCAACATTTTTCTAACCGTGGTATAACACTGAAATCAGAGGGCTTGAAGGGCGGTGGTCGTCTTCAGGGGCGGATCTAGGATTCTGTAATAGGGGGGCGGTAAGTTGGCCGAAGGCCAAGTTCGCAAGCGCCGGTGACGCGAAGCCTTGTTGGTTGTTAAAAATAGGGGGGGGGGCCCCTCTAAATCCGCTCCTTGTCTTGTTGCGTCGTGATCGGTATGAAACTCATAGCCATGTACAACGCGTGTAAAATAATACTAGTACATTGCGCTCCTTAACGACCACTGGCCTTTATCTCTACATATTCCTCAGAAAGGTACTAATACTAATTTGGACAGCAGCGACAATGCTCGTATTTTTGTTTAGGACATAGATTTCATAGTACTTCTGTAGATTTCGTGAATTTACATAATATAGTCTTCACCACTTGATTCACCGTTATATATTTCCGGTGTTGACCATATGTCAATGTTATGATACTCACCTTAGCTTGGTTATATCATGGAGCTTTTTTTTTTAGCTCCATGGTTATATTTTTCTGAACATAACTCTCAATTCGATTCTCGATTTGCTACGTAGGATCCAACATGACGTTGAGGGCAGCAAGCAACAGCTGACAAAACCCATCGGACTTGTATCTTGTCTACTGGTTTTTGCTTATTTATTAATACCTCCTATAAATGAAAAATTGTCCTGCTGATCTTAAAAGCAATAAATTTTACAAAGGAGCTCGGTAAATTATTCGAAATTCACTTCCGCTAAATGTCTTGATATGCTGCGTTCATCTGCACTATTAGGGACCGACCACTTGAAATCATGGGGGTGGTGGTTGGAAGATTTCTTGAAAAAAAATGCAAGCTAGACATTGAAAAAAAAACATAAATAAAATTGTATGCAAGGTGCTACAGAGAAGAAATGTTGGCACGTTCAAGAAAAATAAAAAAAATGTACAAATATTAACCCGATTATTAATAGTATGCAAAGTATATGCACGAATTTCGATCATATTTGCCAGCACACGGATAAGTGAATAATTACTAAACATGCATTGTTTGGTTTTTTGTTACATTGTCAGTAGCGTTTTAATTCATCCAATCATGTAACTCCTCAATAATAACAAGGGACACGGTAACGCGGCTTTCGCTGCATATCGGCTTTCGCCATTTATACACTCCCATAATATTTTATTTTATTGAAAAAATACCCAAGTGACTTTATGCAATTCTAACTTCACATACAAAGAGAACCGAAACACAAGTAACTGTTGGCCTAAATTGACCTTTATAGTGCGCCACTTCTGTCCAAAAATAGACATGTTTTACAAACCACTTAACTTGCCAGAAATTACACTGGTTCTGATTAATTATCTGGGCGTAATTACGATACAAATATTAACACTTATTTATTTTAACAATTTTATTAGGTCAATAACTTATTCTATCAAAGTAAATAGTTTATACAACGTACTGATATGCCACAATTACACTTCCGTGTTATGATAAAAAAAAACGAATATTTTCTAGCGGCCTAGGAGGTAGAGCATGCTTCCCGAAATTTCTAACGCATGTAACACAGAAAGAGATGGCCACCAACAAATCTCAGGTAAATTCGTCGTTATCAACGTTTTTTTTTAACTACCCGAAACTTAATATTTGTATGATTTTACTAAATATTCACTCTGATGTGGAAACTGATTTTCAATAGTGGTTGGTATGGTAGTGAATACTACAGTGCGAGCTTCTCGAAATTTCTACTCCAATAACATATAAAACGTTACTGTCAATCGTGATCAGTCTTTTATACTCACAGTATAGTGAATGTTTCTGTCATTTGTCAAAATCGTTAATATACGTATATTACAGTTACTCACAAGGCTATCATCGTCTTAGCTTAAAAAGTGGTTGGCTGTACTCGACCTTGGATATTGAATTTCACCTATAAATGCTCCAACGATGGAAATTTAATCACTTAGATAGCGCAGAATGTCAGTAAAGATATCTGGAAAAGATAGAACACCCTTTCCGTCTTTGTTTTGTTTTTATTTCTTTGTTTTTTTCTTTCATTTTTTTTCTGAATTATTTTTTACTCATTTACTGACAGGTTGATGCTTTGAAGACACAAGGTAATGCAGCTTTGCAAGCTGGTAAATCACAAGAGGCTGTACAGTTTTACACAGATGCTATTGCTATAGATCCTACTAACCATGTGTTGTACAGCAACCGATCAGCTGCATATGCCAAATGTGGCAATTATCAGAAAGCCTATGAGGATGGTTGTAAGACTGTGGAAATCAAACCTGACTGGGCCAAAGTAAGTAGGCATATAAAAATAAGGCCTTGTCATTCCATCTTGCGCAATTAATTTTCTGTGTGTGATGGGGGTGGTATTTGTTGGTGTCTGTGCAGAATTATTCTCAATTGTTCCGAATGCCAAAACAGCAACTTTGACAGCTACATGCATCTTGCTGACTGGTTTGCTATGCACGTCTCGAACTTTACCTGATCATAATTGGTTAGTTCAAAACATTTTTATAAGTGTGCGCTAAATACACACATTGACGATTGTTATGACATTCACAAGACACAGCAGTAACTGTGTCAGAAACTTTGCCATTTATTATATTGCAATTTATACAAATCACAGCTCAATTTATTTTGAATACTACTGGATTCTGCCTTAAATTCACCAATCCGAAAAATCACCATGGGTGATTTAAAGGCTGGTGGGCCCTTATTTGGGGTTCAAAAAATGATCATCAAATATTTTTTGGGGACTTATATTTTCACTGAAAAATCCACCTACGCTGACTTTCAACGCCGGCAGTTGGACCACCCAACATGAAAAAAAATAACTATTGCAGAAGCTAATCTAAAATTTTATACATTTTTTTTTCTTGCTGGATTAAAAAGTAGACCGCCTTAAATTTCATTACAATATCACCCAGGGCATCTTTCTCCCAAAAAAATCACATTAACGAACCTCGTGTGCCAAATACAATTATTTTTTTCATTTCATTAGTACGAAAGTATAAATATTTTAAACGCTCGATGCTGTAGAAATGAATTTATGTTTTGACCTGGGACAATGTTCTTTGACCTGAAAGGTCAAATCGCTAATTAACCAATGAAAACGATGTTGATGCCAACGTGTTCTAATTACCATAATGTTATTGAATGCAGCACAGAAGAGATTTGCCAATAATGTTGTACACCGGTGTTGTACGATCTTTTGGCATGGATTTTGATTGGAAAGCGGCATGATTTGTTTTTAAATAAAAAAATTAGTTGTTTTCAAAAAATAAACTGAGCATTTGAAGAATAATTTAACATTGTTTACAGTGATAACAGCTCATTGTTGAAACAGAGGTTACCCATTCATGCTAGTCGCAATAAACATCATAGTTCATACTCTTGAGTAGTCGTCAATGACTACGGTGAAACTTTAAGGCATCAGAAAAGATTAAAATAACGCCCTAAAAAACTGCTGAAAAATCGCCCCAAAATTGGTCCACTTTAATTTTTTTAAAAACCCAAACTGCCGTTTAACGCCCCAGAGCGAATTTACAACTGAATCCGGTAGTAATTAACTGTGTATTTTCTTTTTTGAAAGATATGATTTGAATTAAGGTAGCGAGAAGGGAGATTTTCACTTTTTTCTTGATTTTTCACAAATTGATAAAACGGTTACTTTAGACTTTGATACATCACCCCAGGTTTACAAAAGATCGAAATTGCGAAATAACGTTGCTCAAATTAGTGTTTTAAAACACTAGCAGAAAAGACTACAACTGCCGTTTCGTGGATATTGGCATAATGTTTATCTTTGAAAGGGTTTAAATGATAACATCTTATCTGTATACTCTGTTGTTGACGATTGTGATATAACGGGTGATAAGCTTCCAGTTGCAAACAATGCGTGTTTATCTAACGTCCATTGTCCGCATTATTGTCAGTCGAGACTTCGACCGAGAAACATGGTCATACAGTACTCATTTCGCCCAACCTTCCGCTTTTACATCGACCGCTTATCGCTTAATTTCCGACCACGCGGATCTTGTCCGACCG